CGAGGTCAAGAAAATTTGGATCTATACATCCACTCCCCCACACGCCTTAATGGCGTAGGGCTTAATTCGTTGAGCAGAGGAACAACTTTACCTTTTACCTTTTAATACCTTCATAATACTATAGACCTACCTGTATTTAAATTTATTCATCCTCATTTCTATGTCATCTCATGGCCTATTTAATACTTTTTTTACATTACACTGAAGTATGAATTAGTAATTTTAATCACAGTGTTCAACAACATCCAACACTTTTTACGAATATTCACACCCAACACTTAAAAAAATTTAATATTGTCGTTTGCGGCATTTTCCTTTTTACGAATATCCGTACGAGGCCTACGTAATATTAGCTTGTCACTTAATAAACTGTCCTCTTCACTCTCAAGATAGTCTAGTAAGGATTCCAAATGATTAAGCGCAGCACCATGTGATACTTTCTTACTGGCAACACTGTCCACCTCTTCCTCATTCTCACTTTCTTCCCGCTCTTCTGGCTGCACCCCCATTGAAGTTACGATTTCGTCACTGCTTAACATTTCGAAGCCCGGCTCACATGAGTCACAGTCAAACCAATCTCTTATATTTTCCTCGTTGACTGTTTCACCACCATGAACTTGGTTAGCCAATTTTGTCAATTCTGTGGATTTCATCATCTTCATTAGTGATGAAAGGCATCGGTTTCTTCCATGAATTTTTCAATACAGATGGCTTTACTGTATCCCACGCTGTTGAAATCTCATGTATGGCATCTAACATTGAAAAAGACTTCCAGAAACACGTCAGATCATTGCCTTCATCGATGTACTTTTGTAGCAAATTTTGACTGTAGATTCTCTTCATACTTGAGATAACTCCTTGATCCATTGGTTGGATAAGTGCGATAACATTAGGAGGAAAATATTTCACAAAAATATTTCCATCATCTGACCTCAGGAGACTTTCGTTAGGATGTGAGGGCGCATTGTCAACGAGGAGCACAGCTTTCTCAGGTAGTAGTTACTATAGAATTCTGATGATGGTGTATAACACACAGAGATAGTGGGTTTTTGGACTTTATCCATCGTCCAGGTTTTTAAGATAACTAAGAAAGGCACGACATTTCGGAAACTGGATCTGTATCCATCCTCAGGTGAGGGAAAACATCTATTCTGTTGGGTCCCTTAGAAAGAGCTAGCTCTTTCTAAGGGACCCAACAGCATAGGTGTTTTCCCTCGCCTGAGGATGGAAACAGATCCCGTTTCCGAAATGTTGTGTCTTTCTTAGTTATCTTAAAAACCTGGATGATGGATAAAGCCCGAAAACCCACTATCTCTGTGTTTCTCAGATAGGCTTTGGGATTTTAGATGGTCACGAACTTGAGGCACAAATTTAAAATCAAACCATTCTTTAAATATCGCTCTATTCATCCAAGCTCCTTTCTGATTAAAATAATAGATAGGCAGACTTGAAGCTACTGTTCCTTTAAAAAAGCGTGCTTTTCGCTTTGCCGATAACTCCTGGTGTTAGTTTGTGTGTTCTTGATGCATTAGAACAGCACAAGGCTGTCAATCTCTCCGTACTGGATTTGTGACCTGGAGCCTGTCTTTCATTTTGAAATGCCAAAGTTCTGGTTGGCAAGCATTTCCAATAAAGACCCGTTTCATCGGCATTATAAATTTGTTCTGGCAGCAGATTTTCACTTTTCACAAAACTATCAAAATTGGTGCAAATTGAACTGATTATGACAAGTCCCCTGACAATTTCTCACCTTGAATACTAATTTCCTGTATTCCATGACGCTGCTTGAAACATGTTAGCCAACCGGAAGAAGAGTTCAAGTGCTTCAGAAAAAAATTTCGCTTGTTTAGCACAAACTGCTCCTGTTACTGTTGTTCTCTGTGCCCTTAGTTGGTTAAACCAGATCAGCATTGGTTTGTCGAGATCATCATATGTTGATTTTTTGTGGTTTTTCTCCTCTTCATTCCACTTGAATCAGAAGACGAAGCAAAGGAAATTAATTGATTCTTTTGTTTTTTTCAAATCATGAACAGTTTGTTCTCCAGTATCGTATTGCATTGCTAATTGTTTAACTACACCTCTTTTTCCCAACTGATTGATAATTTCAAGTTTCTGTTGAATACTTAACACAACACGCTTCCATTTCATCATCATCATCATCATCAGTAATCTGTCAAGACGACAGGTCCACAGTCTCTTTCAAAACAATTCCTCCACTTAATGCGATCTAGAGCTTTCTCCTTCAAATGACAGTATCCTCTTCTGTCCCCAAGGTCATCCAGCATCTTCTTACGTCTTCTTCCTCGTCTTCTTGTCACTTCTATCCGCCCATCTATCTTTCCTTCGATAGCTTCTTTTAGAAGGCAGTTTCTGCGTAAAACATGACCAATCCAATTAGCCTTCCGTTTTCTTATTTCATGTAGGATATTCCTCTGCTCACTGACTCTAATTAACACTTCTTCATTTCTCACATAATCGGTCCAACTGATCTTCTCCATTCTTCTCCAACACCACATTTCGAAACTTTCCAGATGTTTCTGATCTACTGCCCTAAGTGTCCATGTTTCAGCCCCATACAGAGCTATGCTCCAAATGTAGCATTTCACTAGTTTCTTCCTCAAATTTAAGTCCAATTTGCTGGTAAAAAGATTCTTCTTCTTGCTAAATGCAGCTTTTGCCATGGCAATCCTGGATTTAATTTCACAAGTACACCTTCCATCATCTGTTAACAAGCTACCCAAATATTTAAAACATTTCACATTCTCCACTTGTTTTTGGTCTATCTTTATTGTGACTGGGGTTGGTTGTCTCGAAATTTTCATTACTTTTGTTTTCTCCACATTCATTTCCATGCCATAGCACCTTCCAATTTCAATTAGTCTATCAATCATGCCCTGTAGCACAGTTTCTTCCTTAGCCATTAACACAAGGTCATCTGCATATTTCACAGTTTGAATAATTTGCCCTCCTACTTTGAAGTCACCGAGCCCATCCAGAGCTTCCTTGGTAAGGCATTCGCTGTACAAGTTGAACAGAATTGGTGATAAACAGCATCCTTGTCGAACTCCTCTTCCAATCTGCACACTTCCTGTCTCCCCCCTGTCCAGTCGTACTCTAACTTTCTGATCCATGTACAATTTGCTAATCAATCTTCTTTCATGCCAATCGATACCTGTTTCTTTCAGGATCTGCATTAATTTGGTCCAGTTTACCCGGTCAAATGCCTTCTGCCAGTCTATGAAGCAAACACACAGTTCTTCATCTATCTCCAAAGTTCGTTCCGCTATAATTCTCATCATCCCAATTGCATCCCTGGTTCCTTTTCCTCTTCTAAATCCAAACTGATCTTCTCCAAGTACATCCTCTATTTTCCTTTCAATTCTTCTTTTAAGTATCTTTGCTATTATCTTTGCTGTATGTGCAATAAGACTTATTGTGCGATGGTCGCTGCATTTTGTAGCTTTTGTCTTTTTCTTTAAGGCAATCATTGTAACTTCTGTAAAGTCCTTGGGCCACTCTCCACTTTCATATATGGTGTTCATTAGTTTTGTCAGTGTTTTCAAACCACCTTCTCCCAGTAACTTGAGCACATCTCCAGGTACATCATCATCTCCTGTAGCCTTTCCCTTCCTCATTTCCTTGATAGCTTTTTCCACCTCACTTTGTAAAATATATGGTCCTTTCTCGTCTGTATCTACTTCTTCTTCCGGTTCAACTTCTAAGGTTTCTGGCCGATTAGGTCGATCATATAGTTCTGAAATATAATTTTCCCAAATTTTCAGCACTTGCCTCTGATCTACTATTCTATTCCCCTGGGAGTCTTCGATGCCAACATTTTGAATCCCATGATTCTCTTTCCATCCTAGTTCTTTTGTCTTCATGTACATCAAATCATAACGGCCTGTTCTTTGAAATTCCATAATCTCATTACATATCTTCTCAAGATATTCCTTTTTGGCCCTGTCCGTGGCTCTTTTCAATTCATTCCTCAGTCTCCTGTATTTCCTCCTGCCTTCTTCATTGTTGACATTCTTCCATTTCCTTCGCTCCTCCATTTTACTCATCATCTCCTGTGTAACCCATGGTTTTCTTGCTATCTTCTCAACTTTACCTACCAAATCACTGATAGTATCTAACATGCATTCTTTTATATCGTTCCACTGCGCTTCAGCATTTCCGCTTTCACCTTCAATTGCACCGAGTTTCTCTTCTAGAGTCTCTTGCACGCTTTGTCTTTGAGCATATAACTTCTCCAAATCCCATCTGGGTCTGCGCTTTCGAAATCCTATAATTTTCTTCAACCTGGTTCGGAACTTGGCAACCAGCAAGTTGTGGTCAGAGTCAATGTCTGCCCCAGGAAGCGTCTTCACATCCTTCACACTGTTTCTGAATCGATGTTTCACAAGGATGTAGTCCAGCTGATGCCTCTTCCAATCCCCAGGTGCCTTCCATGTGTAAATTCTTCTCTTTGGCTTCTTGAACCAAGTGTTGGTAACAATCAATCCATTTCGTTCACAAAAGTCAATAAGCATTTGACCTCTGTGATTCCGTCTTCCTAGTCCATGTGATCCAACAATATTCTGATATGGTTCATCTCCAACAATGCTGTTCCAGTCTCCCAATATGATGCTGTTTGTGTCTCCTCTTCCATCTTCCTGAAGAATTTCTTCAATTGTGTCATACACTTTTTCCACTTCATCATCTTCATACTCTGATGTTGGCATGTACACTTGTATAATCAGTATATCTACCGGTTCCGCCTTTAACTTCAGAGCAATAATTCTGTCATTACAAGCAATCTTCTTAACAACACTCCTCACTACACTTTTATGCACCACTATTGCCACACCTCTTTCAGCCCGTTCACCTCCGGAATAATACACTGTATAATCACCGCTTCTTATTTCACCTTGTCCTTTCCACCGCACTTCGCTGACACCTAGCACAGACACTTCATTCTTCTGCATTTCCATTTTCAAATTCTCCAATTTTCCTGCTTGATTCAAGGTCCTGACATTCCATGTTCCAATCTTGTATCCATGCTGTTTCTTCTGATCTTCGCACTTTTTCTTGTTGTAACGCCTGCATGACATTTCCTCTAGAAACACTCCCCCCCGGAGATCCGATTGGGGGAGTAGTTTACCTCCGGATTGTTTTGCCTCCAGAGGAAACATCTCGCATATATGGTATCTCTGTTTTTGGAAAGAGACTATCCAGGAAAAGTGATAATGTGGTAGTTTTTCCATTTGCTTTCCACATCGCAGTACAGCAGCCGTTCAAACCACTCTGGTCACGCCTGCTGCTATACGAACTTGAACCATCTCGAGCATCATTTGCTCTGTGCTTCAAGTCGCTACTGATGACGCTGCTTCCGGCATCAGTTCCATTTACCCCAACATTTTGCTAACGCACTTGAAGATTGATACAAAGAGACTAACTGGGGTGGTGTATCTGTCCTTGAAACTTTCCACAAATCCTTGCATTCTTTCACCCCTACCCTAGAACATTGTGTTAGCATAACAGGACAAAGAATGCAGAGCTTGGTTCACACTAGTGCGAAAATAGTGTTACAACTCACCATGTGAGACAAAAGTGAATGAATATTAACAACATATAAGCCTCAAAAAAGCCCCGGTAGCCCCAGTAAGCCGCAATCCGGTTTATCCACCCCAGGATAATCGAGAGTTGGGTGTATCTTTTCTGTTAATGTCCCTTTCTGCTTGATGTTTAAAGCTTTACTATGCTAATCTGATAAATACTTGAACGGTATGAAGAATCAATGGAAACTTGTGCTTGGCAAAGAATTCCGTTAATGGGAGTGCAGAATGAGATGCGAATCAATCTTCAGTTTCCATCAAACCCACAATTTCCCTTTTTTTTGGGAATTATTATACTTACCTGTGCTATGCATGAGAAACAAAACATGATAAAGGGCTGCATTAGTACTGATAATTTAATATTACTGTGGGCCAGGTTGAATGTTTTGCAGATTATTTTCAGCCCATGAAACATTTTGTTCACATCTGATTTGCATGTTTGATCATACTTTTGGTTTTCACATACCTGTTCTGTACACACAGGATATATGCTCCGTTCGCTGTCTGTTTTTAACAGCATTCTTTGATGAACTTTTTATAGACATTCGTATATTGAGCTTGTAGGTGAGGTCTGGGAGAATTATCAGAATGCTTTTTAAAGTTCTTATTTCTGCTTGCTTTCAGGATTTCCTAGTGTGATGGTGGCAGATGCATACCTGCACCCAAAAGTAGATGAATCAGAAGAGACATTCACATGGGGATTACCAGATTTAACATCTCTGAGAGACTTCACTCGGCAGAAGTTTGGCTGGACCAAAACAAAGACAGATGAGATTTTGCTGCCTGTTATGAAAAAGCTAGAGGAAAGAAAGGTGTGATACCCACAGTCTTTATTATAAAGAAATTTCCTTCTATTATTTGCTTTAGAGACATTCTAACTGCATAGTTTCTCCCACTACTTAACCACAATTTTTATGGATTCATGTTAGCATGATAAGAGTTAGTCAAGCTTTAGAGCAGTTACAATTTTTATAGTAGTGTTCCATGTTCAAACATTCTGTTGGTTATCTTGATAATTTGTGAATAACTTATGTGGTGCTTTATTGCCCCCAGTTCTTTTAAAAATTGTGAGTTAAAATGTCTCAGAGGATATGATGTGGCTAGTTGTGCACATTGTGATGATTATCAAGAGAAAATATTTCCATATATGTGACATGTGAGAGCAGAAATATTGGAATTAACCTTTAACATATGGACTTTTAAATTGCCGGCAGCCCTCTGCGACCGAAATTTAATTCGCCCTAATTTTTTTTAATGCTAATGGGGTGGAACTAAGTCCCTTGTACTGCAGCCACTTCTGGCCTATTGTACCAGCCCCAGGTGATAGGTGAGGGTGATTGTGGAGCAGTTGGTGGAATGAAGTTTGGCAGGGGAAACCGAAATACTTGGAGAAAACCTGCCCCAGCACCACTTTGTCCACCACAAATCCCACTTGATAAATCGCCCTAAGTCTTTAATGTTGGAAAGTTTCAGGAAAAACTACATATTTTCCGTTCTATGCAACATAGATATATGAACTAAAAATAACCTGAAAGACAATAAAATTTTCTACATATACACAAAAGAGCAATTTTTACAAACGAAAATTAACTTTGATTATTTTGTCATTAAATACAAAATACAGTGGAACCTCGCTTAATGAGCATAATTCGTTCCAGAATCTTACTCATAATGTGAAACACTCGTTAAGCGAAACAATTTTTCCCATATAAATTAATGTAAAATACGATAATGCGTTCCATACCAAAAAAAATACTCAAAAAATTTTATGTATAACGTTTGTTCAAAGAAAATTATATATACATTGTTAAGGAGCGTGAATCATTTTCATCTTTTCTTCTATGCAGAATGAACCAACCTGGAATGCAAATTCGATTTGCAGAAAAAAAAAATCGAAATAATTACAGTAGAACTTGGTTATAACGTCATCAAAGGGACCTAAAAATAGTGTCGTTATAAACAAATGTCGTAACCGAAATGGGCACTTCCACAGTAGCCTTATGTTAGTCACGTAAAAATCTACCAAAAACCGAGTTAAAATGTTGCATTTTTTAGTGAAATACGTAGTTAAGTACAGACTAACGTAACATTAACGTGGAATTGCCCAAATGTGTAATATCAAAGACATATTACAGCGCTTTTCACTGACAATACACACC